CAACAATTGTGAGGTTGGCCCAGGACTGGGCAGTGTTTCATTCTGTTGTACATATGGTCACCATCAGTCATTACCGAATTGATGGCACCTAACAACAACAACAACAGTGATGTCTCCATCTTATTAAAAGTAATGGTCAAAAACTTCTGTTTCTGGTTTTTTTCTGATTTCGACCCCACCCCATCCTCCTGCTTATCTTTTCAGATATCAGGTGTTATCATTGGTCACTTATAAGAACATGTGTAAGATTGTATTATAGTTGAAAAAGTTTGAGACTAAATGTTTTGTTTTAATTAACAAAAATGTGTGAAAACACAATCTCACATTCTCATTACTATGCTAGTTCTGCATTCTTTTACAGTTCAACAAAACTGTTTGAGACTTTGATCCCAACAAAGTTTCTGGGACTTAAGCCAGCTTCTCAGCCTTAATTTGTTCATTTTCTTACTTAATAGTACTTTGAAGCCTATTTGGTTGAAGCAAAAGAATATGCAAAGCATGCACAAAGCAAATAGAATATTTTAATGAGAAGTCACTAAATTTCTCTTTTCCCATTCTCATAAATTTATTCTATTTTTAGTTAACACATCAATTCCCAATGTCACGGAAGTGAAAGAGAACATGACATTTGGATCAACTTTAGTCACCAACCCAAATGGAGGGTTTCTGGTAAGAAAGGAAAGAGTAATTCTTTTTAACACTTTCAGGAATTCTATCACTATAAGTCTTTGTAAAATCTGTTATGTGATTGTTAATCCTATGTTTTTCAAATTTTTTAAAAAGGCGTGTGGGCCCTTATATGCCTATAGATGTGGACACTTACATTACACAACTGGAATCTGTTCTGATGTCAGCCCCACATTTCAAGTCGTGAATTCCATTGCCCCTGTACAAGGTACAGATATCACGCAATGTTCTTGCATGTTTGAAATGCGGTAAGCCATGAATGAGACATATTTATACACAGAAGCATACCATAAAGCTGGAAGTATTTTCTCAGCTACCAGCATTACCAATTTAGGTAAATTTTTGCTTTGCCAATATATAACCAAACAACAGCATACTTCTGGAAATTAATGTTTGTGTAAATAGACTTTACAGAGTTGTATTTAAACATCATCGCTAAAGCTGTCGCATTGCTTTTGTTTTGAGGCTGGATCTCTTTGTGGAAAACAATCAGAGTTGAAATAATCACAGAATTAGACTGTTATATAAATACATGTTGAGAAGATTTCCAAAGCTATCTTTTATATTATAGTGAAAATTAAGTAGTGGTGGCTTTTAATTACTTCTTGTTTTTGACCATAATAAATACCTCTTTTGTTTTTCTAAAGCTCTTCTTAAGAGGTATGAATCCTCTTTGTATAATATCAGCTGATTTTTTTTTTTTTTTTACTCCTATCAGCCATGACAATATTTCATGCACCTCTAAAATGATAGACCCAAGTTTGCGAAACTGAATCCTTTTTGTTACAGAATGCAGCACTCAACTGGACATAGTCATAGTTCTTGATGGTTCCAACAGTATTTACCCTTGGGAAAGTGTTACAGCTTTTTTAAATGATCTTCTGGAAAGAATGGATATTGGTCCTAAACAAACACAGGTATGTGATTCTGCATTTGGATTTGTGTTGTCTTAAAGATAGAAATGAGCAGATTTTTAAATAAAATTTTGCTTTTACATTTCAATTTCTTATTTCTGAACAATGGAATGTTACTGGCAGACAGTGTACTTTTCTAAACAGAAACTATTATGAAAGTTGTCACTTTAAACATGATTGGAAACATCCATATAAATGTGACTAAAAGCATCTGTAAATTCATAACTTAATTCTAAAAGAAGTATAGCAAATTTTGGTGATACCAGATCAGGATTTTAGAATTTGAGCAACTATTATTACATACCAAAGAAACCATCACTTACATATGAATAAGTTAGTAATTCACCACAAGATATTGATTAAATCTGTTTCCCCCTAAATTTAATAATTTCTTTCCATTAATTAAAAGTAAATATTCCATGGTTTAGCTACAGAACACTGATTTAAAAAAATTTTCCCCATGAGTATCTGTTTGTAAGAACATCTTCATTATTGTCACTAAATGAAATGGAACATCTCATATGATTTATCTATTTAGACACTAAATTTCAAATTAATATTTGACTAACCAATTCATTATTAAATATAAAAATAAATATTGAGTAATTTGAACTGCAAACCACTAGGTCAGAAGATCAAGCCCACCAGCTGCTCTACAGGATAAAGATGAGATTTTCTGCTGCTGAAAAGATTACAGTCTCAGAAACCCTATACAGGGTCACTATGAGTTAGAACTGACTAAATGGCACTTAACAGCAACAACAAACATACAAATAACTAAAACATATAAATAATTTGTTATTAAACCATACATCAACTCATTTTTAAACAGTCATATGTTTTAAAATAGAAAAGACATAGTAGATAATAGGCAAAATATCGAATCCCTTGAAGACAGAATTAGCAATAGAATTAAAGTCTTTAGTGGCTGTAGAATGGCTTGGGAATTGTAGACAGTATAGGAGATTGTAGTTCTACACCTACAGTCTAGTGCTCAGCCTTTATGATAATTCTACTTTTAGAGAAATTTCAGAGGAACTAAAAATGATATCTCAAAAATGTTACCATTGTCACAATAAAATATTTCTGTATATATATGCCAATATATACATATATATGCCAACACACACATATATATGCCAGTACATACACACACACATATATATATATAT